TGGGTAACAAGAATGAAACTCTGTCTCAAAAAAAAAAAAAAAAAAAAGACCCCCTAACTCTTAAAAAACAGCAACAAAAACCAAACAAAACCCTACCACAGTGAAGGGGATGGGAAGAAAGGAGCTGGCTTTAATAACTTTGGAAAACTGTGTGTTGACTGTGTAAGTAAGATTGGGGATGAAAAGAATGATATAAATGCTGTACTTTAGTTGGTAGTTTCCTCCTAGGTATGTGGATTAGCAATTCTGAAGTGAATTTTCATGTATACTAGAGTTAAATTAGTGCATGAATTGTGACTAATGAATGTCAGGTTTCTCAATGTCAAAGAAGATACAAATAAACATTTTGGGAATTTTTATTTTAAAAATTTACAGAGATACAAAAACTAAGTCACATTTAATTATACATTTAATGAATCTTTTTTTTTTTTTTTTGAGACGGAGTTTCGCTCTTGTTACCCAGGTTGGAGTGCAATGGCACGATCTTGGCTCACCGCAACCTCCGCCTCCTGGGTTCAGGCAATTCTCCTGCCTCAGCCTCCTGAGTAGCTGGGATTACAGGCACGCGCCACCATGCCCAGCTAATTTTTTTGTATTTTTAGTGGAGACGGGGTTTCAGCATGTTGACCAGGATGGTCTTGATTTCTTGACCTCGTGATCCACCCGCCTCGGCCTCCCAAAGTGCTGGGATTACAGGCTTGAGCCACCGCACCTGGCGTAATGAATCATTTTTATTGTAAAGGGTAACTTACATGACATTGACAAAATTTAGTACATGTAATAGCTATCAAAATACATATGTGTGTGTATATTTATATATGTATATAGCACACTTTTTGCAAACAGCTTCAACATTCATAAGAAACACAGACATAGTCATTCTGGTGCACTATGGATTTAAAATAACGTCATGGTAATCCTCCCTGATGTCAATTTTAAAATGAGGACTAAATTTTTCTGACCAATTATTAGAAGCCCTGCCTCTCACAAATGTGTTTAAATTTTTCTTTTGATTATTTGATACCTTCTGCCCAAGAGATTCTATCCCTTTTTTGTTGTTGTTTGAGACATTGTCTCGCTCTGTCACTCAGGTTGGAGTGCAGTGTCATGATATCTGTTCACTGCAACCTCTGCCTCCTGGGCTCAAGCGATCTACCACCTTAGCCTCCCCAGCAGCTGGGACCACAGGCATGCACCACCAAGCCCACCTATCTTTTTTTTTTTAATTTAATTTTTTTTTTTTGAGACGGAGTTTTGCTCTTGTTACCCAGGTTGGAGTGCAATGGCACGATCTCGGCTCACCGCAACCTCCGCCTCCTGGGTTCAAGCAATTCTCCTGCCTCAGCTTCCTGAGTAGCTGGGATTACAGGCACGCGCCACCATGCCCAGCTAATTTTTGTATTTTTAGTAGAGAGGGGGTTTCACCATATTGACCAGGATGGTCTTGATCTCTTGACCTCGTGACCCACCTGCCTCGACCTCCCAAAGTGCTGGGATTACAGGCTTGTGCCACCGTGCCCGGCCCTTTTTTTTGTATTGTTAGTAGAGACGGGGTCTTGCCATGTTGCTCAGGCTGGTCTTGAACTTCTGAGTTCAAACAATCCACCTGCTTCAGCCTCCCAAAGTGCTGGGATTACAGGTATGAGCCAGCACACCCGGCCTGAGATTACTCTCTCATAAGAAATTTCGTAAGTTTTTCCACCGAGGAAAGTGATGCTTTCTTTGATTTTCTCTAAATTTACTTCTTCACATTTGAAAGCAGACTCTTTTTCCTTAGACGTTGAAGATGCAATGTGAAAGGGCATTTTTCTTTCTTATATTATTAAAAAAATATATATATTTTTTGAGACAATCTCACTCTGTTGCCAGGCTGAAGTGCAGTGGGGTGATCTTGGCTCACTGCAATCGCTGCCTCCTGATTCTCCTGCCTCAGCTTCCTGAGTAGCTGGGACTACAGGCACGCGACACCGTGCCCAGCTAATTTTTGTATTTTTAGTAGAGAGGGGGTTTTACCATGTTGGTCAGGATGTTCTCCAACTCTTGACCTCATGATCCGCCCACCTGAGCCTCCCAACGGCTGGGATTATAGGCGTGAACCACTGCGCCTGGCCTAAAAAAAGTTATTTTTTAAAAATAACATTTTTGCCGGGCATAGTGGCTCAAGTCTGTAATCCCAGCCCTTTGGGAGGCCGAGGTGGGTGGATCACGAGGTCGAGAGATCGAGACCATCCTGGTCAACATGGTGAAACCCCGTCTCTACTAAAAATATAAAAAATTAGCTGGGCGTGGTGGTGCACGCCTGTAATCCCAACTACTCAGGAGGCTGAGGCAGGAGAATTGCCTGAACCCAGGAGGCGGAGGTTGCGGTGAGCCGAGATCGCGCCATTGCACTCCAGCCTGGGTAAGAAGAGCGAAACTCCGTCTCAAAAAAAAAAAAAAAAAAAAAAAAAATTTTATATTTTATATAGAGATGGGGTCTTGCTACATTGCCCAGGCTGGTCTCAAGCAATCCTCCTGCCTTGGCCTCCCACAGTGCTGGAATTACAGGCATGAGCCACTGTGTCCAGCCAAAAAAATGTTATTTTTATTACATTTTCAGTTTTCACTTTTATAGCATGCAAAGTGCTCTTCTCTTTCACTTTAATTCACAAAAGATCTTTACTCTTTGTCTTTCCACTTTTGTCACTTTTAATGAGCTCACCTCGTATCTACTAAAATTCTGAAGGAGACATGGGCAGAATTGTGTAAGAATTCTGGTCATACCACAGTTTCATAAAAGGACAATGTCATTAATGTGCAAGTTCTAGTAAAACGCAAATCTTACCTTGTTTCACCAGCTTACTAGTTAGGCTTATTTTATTTATTTTTTGGCCTCTTCTGACTTTGGATTTTAACTATTTTCAACTATCTTTTGCTTGTAGAGGCATTCTTTGGCTCCTAAGTAAGAGGTATTAAAGTGAGGGATTATTAACAGTGAACCTAGTTTGGCATGCAGGATGCTGCTGTGTACATATATACTAGTGTATATGAATATAAACCCTGGTCTTTTTTTCTGTTTTTAAGTCAAAGTGACTTTTCACCTGATGTGCTTGGAATGATTCACAAACAACTTGGCACACTCTTCTGGCCCACTTACCTCCATTGAAATTTTTTTTTTTTTCTTTTTTTGAGGCGGAGTTTCGCTCGTTACCCAGGCTGGAGTGCAATGGCGCCATCTCGGCTCACCGCAACCTCCGCCTCCCGGGTTCAGGCAATTCTCCTACCTCAGCCTCCTGAGTAGCTGGGATCACAGGCACGCACCACCATGCCCCGCTAATTTTTTTGTATTTTTAGTAGAGATGGGGTTTCACCTCGTTGACCAGGATGGTCTCGATCTCTTGACCTCGTGATCCACCCGCCTCGGCCTCCCAAAGTGCTGGGATTACAGGCTTGAGCCACCGTGCCCGGCCTGAAATGTTATTTCATAAATTACACCTTATTTCACAGAATTTTTTCTAGATAGTATAAAAAATTCTCAAATATTTTCTACAGGGGCACACAACTTTCTATTTAAAAGTCTAAGCACTAAATTTTCTGTTGCCTTCCTAAATCCTACTTTCATAATTAAAAATAAAGGAAAGCACAAATATTTCCTTCACTGGGTCTATTTTTGCACTAATTTTCTTCATTTAAAAGTGAATTCGTTTTCTGTTTTCTCTCATTTCATTGAATAGTTCCCATTTCTACCAAAATGGAGGTGGAAGCTGCAGTGGCAGAAAGAACATGGGTTTTGGAACCAGATAAACCTGAGTTTGAATCTTGATTCTGTTACCGTAAGTAGCTATGTAGCCTTGGGCAAGTTTAATTTCTTTAAGCCACCAGTTTCTCATCTGGAAAATGGAGACAAAAATACCGATGGTTTGGCTGGCTGGTCAGATTAAATAAAAAATACAAGCACAACATTTGGTACATAGTAGGCATTCAACATGTTAATGCATTTCTCACTACATCAAGTGTTTCAAAACTAATTATGGGGAGGAACCAAAATTCAGTAGTCTTATTAATAAAAGGCCACATAACATGTTTTCTTAAAACTCTTAATTTCTTTTTTTTTTTTTTTTTTTGAGACGGAGTTTCGCTCTTGTTACCCAGGCTGGAGTGCAATGGCGGGATCTCGGCTCACCGCAACCTCCGCCTCCTGGGTTCAAGCAATTCTCCTGCCTCAGCCTCCTGAGTAGCTGGGATTACAGGCAAGCGCCACCATGCCCAGCTACTTTTTTGTGTTTTTAGTAGAGACGGGGGTTTCACCATGTTGACCAGGATGGTCTCGATCTCTCGACCTCGTGATCCACCCGCCTCGGCCTCCCAAAGTGCTGGGATTACAGGCTTGAGCCACCGCGCCCGGCCCAAAACTCTTAATTTCTAAATTTGATTCAATACCTTTTTTTTTTGAGACAGGGTCTCACACTGTCACCCGGGCTGGCATGCAGTGGTGAAACACAGCTCACTGCAGTCTCAACCTCCCAGGTTCAAGTAATCCTCCTGTGCTCATGCAATCCTACCACCTCAGAACCACCCCTCCACAAGTAGCTGGGACTATAAGTGCATGCCACCATGCCTGGTTAATTTTTGTATGTTTTCTAGAGACAGGGTTGCTCAGGCTGGTCTTGAACTCCTGAGCTCAAGCGATTAGCCCACCTTGGCCTGCAAAGTGCTGGGATTACAGGCATGAGCCAATGCCCCTGGCTTGATTCATGGCATTTTAATGAAAAACTTCATGTTTTTTCTGTATGCCAAAGTGCCATGTATGAAATTTGGAAGAGTCAATGTAATTGTACAGCCATAGAAAGGCCTCCTTTCACCATACAAAAAGGTAACCTTTGCTTGATTGCTGCCACCAAGGGCCATTTTGTGGGATGCGGTTACTTTAGGAGTATTTATTACACTGATATGGGCAATTAAAAAATCAAAATATGCCATACTTCATAAACATCAGCAAGTTAATAGAAATCAAGAATTTTAATAAACAGAAATTTTATTTAACATATATTTCAACATGGAATCTATAAATTGCAGAGGAGCACTGTGAATTCTTCAGAAAAATGTTTATTTGTTCTACTCACAAGCTTCATCCTTGTGGCATATATTCAGAGCTAGGTGATGTCCTGATTTTTGTTCAGGCAGGCATAATGTATTTCATGGTATTCTGAGAACTCTGTTAAACTTCACTGCTTTGTTAAATGTCACTGCTCACAAAATCTGGGTTAGGATGACTGTTCATGGGGGTTGTTGCTCACATGTTTTCCTATGGCTGGTTTTCACAAAACAGTATGCGTCTAGTCCTAGAGAAGTACATGGAAGGTCTTCTCAGATGGATTTGGCTGGAATTATCTCTTGTCTCTGCAACTGCTGGTTCTATCTTCTCTCTTCTCCTGGAAATCAGAAAGAAGACACAAAAATGCAAACACATGCCAAAACACTGCAGCCACAAACCAGGCTGGCATGTCAAATAGTGGCATATTCAATACATCCTGATATAATTCTTTCAGGTAATGATTTTAAGGTTGGAGAGGACTTTATAGATTATTTACTTCAACACTTACGTTATTTTCATCAGTACCTTTGTATTCTAAGAGGTAAAATTCCCATTTTGAAAATGTCCAATTTTACAATTTCATTAAAAATTCAGGATTCACTGAAAGGCGGAGGTTGCAGTGAGCTGAGATCACGTGCCACTGCACTCCAGCCTGGCAACAGAGTGAGACTCCATCTGAAAAAAAAAAAAAAAAAAAAAAGAAAGAAAAAAAAAATTCAGGGTTCAGCCTGGTGCAGTGGCTCACGCCTGTAATCCCAGCACTTTGGGAGGCTGAGGCAGGCGGATCACCTGACGTCGGGAGTTCAAGACCAGCCTGACATGGAGAAACCCCGTCTCTACTAAAAATACAAAAATTAGCCAGGCATGGTGGCGCATGCCTGCAATCCCAGCTACTGGGGGGCTGAGGCAGGAGAATTGCTTGAACCCAGGAGGTGGAGGCTGCGGTGGGCCAAGATTGAGCCATTGCATTCCAGCCTGAGCAACAAGAGCGAAAGTACATCTCAAACAAACAAACAAACAAACAAACAAACAAAAAATCAGGGTTCAGGCCAGGTGCAGTGGCTCACACCTGTAATCCCAGCACTTTGGTAGGCTGAGATGGGTTGATTACTTGAGGTTAGGAGTTCGAGACCAGCCTGGCCAAAATGGTGAAACCCCATCTCTACTAAAAATACAAAAATTAGCCGGGCGTGGTGGCAGGGTATGCCTGTAATCCTAGCTACTCGGGAGGCTGAGGCAGGAGAATCACTTGAACCTGGGAGATGGGGGTTGCAGTGAGCCGAGGTCGTGCCACTGCACTGCATCTGGCGAAAGACCAAGACTCCGTCTTGAAAAAAAAATTGAGGGTTCAAAGTGAAATGATAAATTGTAACTTATTTGCACCTGCATATAAAGCTCTTTATTTTACATTTTCTTCTAGATAAATTCTAGGTACCAAGAAATCTCTATAGTGTTGTATAGCAGAAATGGGAGTTCTTGGGTATGAACTTGTGAAAACAATGTCTGATGGAACTAATGATGAAAGAGCTGGGAACCCACATAGTTAGGCATGTCAGAAGGAAACGTATGGGAATGTTAGCCCCTGCTTCCCTCTCCCTCTTCATCCTGAATCTGTTTCATTTAGGCCTTGGAAGTTCTTTTCTCCTCTTCCATCTATGAAATAGTACTCATTTGGCTAACTCTGAAGCTTGTTTCAGAATTCAGAATGTTGCTCATCTCCCCTGTGTTTCTACACCTGTGAAGTTAGCACTTTTTACACTGATTTATAAGAGACCGCTTAGTTTTACATTTCCTCTATTAGACTGTATCCATCAGGAAAACAAAGCCATTGTAAGAATTGTGGGACTAAGGTATTTATTATAGGAATTATATTTTACCAAACATGGGAGGAGCTGGGAAAATGAAGGTCTGGAAAAGGAAAGTTGGAGGATTAGAGTATAAACGGCATGGGATAAAAATCTAGCCTGCTTTACTGTGGAGTGCCAGTCGGGATCAGAGAAACGACTAAGCAGGCTGTTTGAAGCACTGGTGTGAGTAAATAAATAGAAGCTTGCAGGGGAATCTGATAATCCACGTGTGCCCAAGCTGCTGAAGTGGAGCCATGAAGTAGGAGCTTGCTAGGGAAATCTATGAAAACTGCTGAATGTGGGAAGACTGCTTTTCTGAAGCTATTGTCTTCAGGTCTGCAGCCTAGTCCCTGGTGGTGGGCCTGGGGCTGCTGTTGGTCAGCAGAGTCTGTAGTCATGAAGATGCTATAGAGTGGAGAAGAGTGAGCTGCTGGCACCTTTGTATTTGCCCATCACTGACTGACTATGGTGATCTTCCAACAATAATGGCTTCTGGTCACTTCTGCCTTCTTCCTTTGTGGCCAAAATTTCTAACCTAGAAATGTGAATCATAGCCTTAGCAAAGTTGGCTATTTTGTGATCATGATGTATTCTTAGAATGTAGCAAAGTTTCTGGTACACAGACAGTACTTAATATTTAATAAATGAAAGAAGAAAATGGAAGACCATTTATACCCTGCAAATGAGAAGCAAAGCAAGATTTGTCTGGCTAATTTTTTGTATTTTAGTAGAATTGGGGTTTCACCATATTGCCCATGCTGGTCTCGAACTGCTGAGCTCAGGCAACCCGCCCCCTTGGCCTCCCAAAGTGCTAGAATTACAGGCATGAGTGACTGTGCTGGCATTTTGCTTATTTCCATTTCTACTCATTTCTAGACAATCCATCCAATACCTCAGCAACTCAATTTCTTGGCCTCAGTGATCTTATCTTTCCTTCCCTGCTTCATATCCCTTGTCATTCCAATAATAGTACATAAGTTCCTTATCACAGGTTGCTTTCTGAGAAACCAAGGCTGAGACTCTTGGTAAAAACTCAACCCTGATCATATCTAACCACTCTTTTAGATGAAATGACAAAGGGTAGTGCAAAACACAAATACCTCAAGTTTCTCTATTACAATTCATTGCCCAGCTCTGTGAGATAACTTTCACATCTTCTTTCCCCTGACTCAGTTGATTACTTTGCTTATTTAACCAAAAATAAAAGCTACTAGAAGAGAGCCTCTCCATATTTCTATTACCATACCTTTAAATCTACCTGCTTCTGTACTCACAGATTTGTCCTCCTTCCCTAGTTCTATGTGAGGCCAGTTTCTCCCCTTCCACTTTCAAAGCTCAATTCCCATTACCTACACAAAGACTGCTCCTACAGATATGGTTCTCTCTCTTGATCACTTTTAATTACACATAGTTATGCTGTTAATATATGTATATATTTTTTTGAGGCAAAGTCTCACTCTCTTGCCCAGGCTAGAGTATAGTGGCATGGTAACGGCTCACTGCAACCTCTGCCTTCTGGGTTCAAGTGATTCTCCTGCTTCAGCCTCCCAAGTAGCTGGGACCAGAGGCATGTGCCACCACACCCAGCTAACTTCTGTTATTTTTAGTAGACATGAGGTTTCATCATGTTAGCCAGGCTGGTCTTGCACTCCTGACCTCTGGTGATCCACCCACCTTGGCCTCCCAAAGTGCTGAGATTACAGGCGTGAGCCACCGTACCCAGCCAGATTCAATTTTTGATCTTTGACTTCTGACAGCTTTTAAGCCTCACCTTTCTCGTCCCCTGTGCTTTACATCTAGGCATGCGAATGAGAAAGCCCAAGTGCTTTTTCCGTTGGCTTTGGCAGGGGATTCAAATCAGGAGAATCAAGCCCCAGCTTGCACTTAGGAATCCTCAGCTTGCCCCTATGTAGCTTCTAACTGCAATAAAAAGACCCAGGCCAGTCTCCTTTCCTTGCTCTCTCAAGCCATTTCAGACCTGCTGTGAAGGCCTGACCTACTGTCCCCAAGGACATCAATTATGTTAGTAACAAAGCTTTTCATACTCTTTTGGTGTGTGTGGTTTCATTAGTCTTTATATGTGAACCAGATTTTGGGTATGAGTCCATCTGCTTCTAAAAAGGAGTTACAACATTATAATATCTCCCACCTTAAAAAAAAGTCTTAGCTAGGATTTAAGTTAGATTGTTTCAACATAGATTAAAAGTGGCTTAAATAAGATAGTTTATTTCTTGCTCACATAAAAGTTCTAGCCGGTGTGGTTACTCTGCTCTATAATGTCAGCAGGGTCCCAGGTTTAATCTAGCTCGCTTTTGTACCAGCCCTAGCTATGACCTATGACTGCATAGTACAGTGATGTACCTCAAGTCTATATTCCACCCAGTATGCAGAAAGAAGTAGAAGGAGAAAAGGGCATTTTTTCTTCTCCACAGCTCTAAACTTAGTCATATAGCCATTTTAGCTATAAGAGAGGCTGAGTAACATTGTTTTAATTCTGGTAGCTAGGAACCTGTAAAACAGATGTTATTACTAGAAAAAAGGCAAGAATGAATATTAGAGGACAACTAGCAGTCTCTGTCCCCCAAATTTCCCTTGACTATTAAGTTCTCATAGTAGGTAGAATAACCTCCCCCACTCCTCCATCCCAAGATGTCCACTTTCTAATCCCAGAACCTATGACTATGTTAGTTTATGTGGCAAAGGGGAATTAAGGTTGCCAGTAGAATAAATTTGCTAATCAGCTGATCTTAAGACAGATATCCAGGATTATCCAGGGGGTCTCAATATAATCATAAGCATCCTTAGAAGTGGAAGAGAAAGGCAGAAGATCAAAGTGAACTGAGAATGATTTGACTCACTGTTAATGGCTTTGAAGATGAAGAAAGGATCCATGAACCAAGGAGTGTAAGTGGCCTCTAAAAACCAGAAAAGGCAAGAAAACAGATCCTCCCCTTGAGGTTCCAGAAAGGACCACAGCCCTACTTATACAATGATTTTAGTATAGTGAGTCTAGTATCAGACTTCTAATTTCCAGAACTGAAAAAAACTATTCAAAAATACTATTTGTGGCCGGGCACAGTGGCTCATAACTGTAATCCCAGCACTTTGGGAAGCCAAGGTGGGCGGACCATGAGGTCAAGAGATTGAGGCCATCCTGGCCAACATGGTGAAACCCCATCTCCACTAAAATACAAAAGTTAGCTGGGCATGGTGGCACACACCTGTAGTAGCAGCTACTTGAGAGGCTGAGGCAGGATAGCTGTTTGAACCCGGGAGGTGGAGGTTGCAGTGAGCTGAGTTTGTGCTACTACACTCTAGCCTGGCACCTGGTGACAGAGCAAGACTCTAAAAAAAAAAAAATACTATTTGTATTTTTCAAAAGCAGCTAAGTTTGTGGTCATTTGTTATAGCAGCAATAGGAAATGAATACAGATTTTGTGTTGGAAATGGGGTGCTACTGTAATAAATACCAAAAAATGTGGATGTGGCT